CCCCAAAACCCCAAAACCCCGCTAAACTGATATTGAGAATTACTATGAATAGTAATATGGCTATTTAATAATAAATTATATTACATTATTCATTAAGTTACAGAATGACTCTTTATAGAAATCGAGATATTATGTGGATCACAGTTATCTTTTTGACGCTAGCAATATAATAAATAGACTCAAAATAGCAACAATAAGGTCCTTTAGACTCAAATTATAACTACTCTGAGATTAAGAAATCACATCCTCGTCAGAGAGAGTTTAGTAAATCAATGTTACAGATCCAACTAGATGGTGAAACAGTTATTGAGCATTATGCTACTAAAATTGATACCACGACTACTCAAGCTCCTCGAGAGTAAAAAGCAAGAACACTTTAAACCATTTACAATGATACAACAGGCTATATAATTTATTCTGGTGGAACAACATCTCGTGTTACATTAAGAGGGATCTAAACAACGACTAAGAAAACAAATACAACTACTACAAAATAGACTTCAACTACTACCAAAAAGGCATATTATAGAAGTAGGAGGAGTGGTACAGATATAATTATTTTAACATCTGTTTTGCCTGCGCTTGCTCCAACTTTAGGTATGTTTTTGATTTTTGTTGGTTGCTGTTGGTGCGCAATGTGCAGGAGAGTCAGATTTAGAAATGGAATAATGTAGGCCTAATGCATTTGCACTAACTGCAAAAGAAAAAAGCCTAGATATTAAAGAGAGGCATCTGCGTATAAAAAAGCTATAGACAGAGGTGTAGTATCAGAACCTAATACTGATATAATGAGATTAGTTGCATAAAGTTAAGCATAAAATCAAGTAATCATTCAAGGACCTGCATTTGGAGCTCCTAATTATTTCTATCCAACAGTTACTGGTGGAGCAGTCATTAATCCAAACGGTCAAAATGTTTATGGATAACCTTTAGGATATAATCAAAATTAGGTATTCCCGATGGCCTATGGCAGTTAACCAATATTAGATCCTAATTAATAAATGGCTCTTTAACAATAGCATCAAATGCAAATGAATAATTAGGCTTTTGGATATCAAGTAAACCCTGTTCAATATCCCATTATTAATAATACCAACGAAGGAGTTTCCTAAAATACTCTTCAAACTTATCCAGATTAAAACATTTCTTAGATTGGTCTTATTTCAAACTAAATTGGTTAAAATCAGCCTCAAAATGATCTATCAGTTATTTACGATTAAAATCAAAATTTTAATCTTGAATAGAAAAAATAATGAAGTGAGTGAAGTACTTACAGTTAAAATTCTAACTAATATGTTAGTTTACTTTTAAGATTTTGATTTTATAGGAAATCATTCATTTTTAAATAGTTATTTTCAATTATTATCTTGCTAAACTTTACCATGGGGTTTTGGGGTTTTGGGG